AGCACTCTCCTCTGCTCCAAACCCAATATTTCCTTGAGAAATAACCATAATTAATGTTCTCAATTACCTTCAAGCCAAAATACACCATGTATTAGACACCCTACTGATGTTGTGTTGTGATTTCCAAACATTGCACAGCAAAAGGCGAAAGTGATTCAAGAAGAGTAATACCAAGGACCACTGATTAATGTGGACTGGAAACTTAGGAGTAGCCGGAAAGGGAGGAGGAATAAGCTGGCCTGTAGGACATTGCTCTTGATTATACTTGACCTGTTTTAGTTGAAGTAATCCTGCTTGCCTCTAGCAACAAGCATTTCCTAATGTATTTACCATTACTAGTTATTGAATGGTGTGTGTAGGCTGGCCCCTGCAGAGTTCTCATTTAGGGCATCCTTTTGACTCTAAAGAACTGCCTCAGCAGTGTTTTTTAAAGGATAGTGGTATACAGAGTTTTGAGATTACTTATGTAATTCTGCAGAAGGAGATCCATCAGCTGGGATACTGACCCTGGAAGCTACCCTGCGGTATGTCTTAGATGTTTGCAACGTTCTGCCAAAGAACATCTGATTTTGTTTATTGCTACTCAGTGGTGAGGCTCTGGTGGTATAAAGCAATCCTGATCCTGCTTAAGTCCCTTTGACAGGATGCTTAAGACAAATAACTTGAGCTTATTAATAGATAAAAGGAAATAGTATCCTTAAGAACTGTTACTAAAGCATAAAATTAGAAGAGGTGGTTGCTTATTTAGAGCTCTCCTTTGCCAGTGTAATTTTGAGTACAAGATGGGAGGTTTTACTGGTCTGTTACTATCCAGACACTGAATAGTAGTGCTAAGTTGTCCTGAAAATTATGTTGGAGTTTGGCCTCAGTGAAATGCTTTGAAACAAGACGCTTAAAAAAAGTTTATAAATTCCCTCTAGAAATCTCCCTCTTACTTTGCTGTCTCATGGTACAAATTCATATGTGTTAATTTGGAAGTGGCATATCTGTGATTTTTCATTACTCAAGATAACCCTTGCCAAATACCTAAAACTTTAAGGGTAAAAAAGAGTCTTGAGCGCTGAAGCGGAAGTGATGGCTGCCTGGCCCTGATGATCATCTCAAGCCTGATCCAGTAGGACTGGCTAAAAGGGTGAGATAGGGCCCCCGGGGGATTGCCAGCAAATCACCAATTAATACTAATTGCATGGGAAATTACAGTAAGGCTGCAATGGTTCATCAGGGACCTGGAATCAGTTCATAGCTGTGCTGCACCCAAAGGCTGTGTGTCCCTTGGTATTTGCTTCAAGAAGAAAACACACTGTTGCTTGCTGCTCCATTGAATTGCAATCTTTTAAGATTGGGACTATAATGTGGAGGAATGTGAAACAGCTCATTTCTCCTGGAGCTTGGCTTGGGAATATATGAGTTAAACTGTAATACTCTAATTGGTTTCAGCAGGGATCATCATTGTCTCCTCTTCATCCAGACCAGATCGCTTCTCATTTCCTGATAGGAAAGAAAACAAAGCTGAATTTGCATGAAATATATGCACGTGATAGTCCTTTCAAAACAAGAAAACTAGCGACATCTGATTTTTAAAGATCTTCCAGCTTTGCCTCACTGATTTCCAAGGAAAGCTTTGCAGAAAACTGATATTTGAGATGCCGCTGTCATCTCCTCTTCCTAGTGACAGCTGCAAACATCTGCTGAGGATGTCATTCATTGTCTCCTCCTGTAGTTGCTCATTAAGATCATGGAGCACCGTGCCTCCTTGAAAATTAAACTGGTAATGCTGTGGGTCGGGAGTGAACAGCCAGCGTGCTCAGAGGCTGTCGAGTGTGGTTACCGAGGGATGGAGAGCAGCTGCTGCTCCTGTGCTCTGTCCCGGCGATCCCGGCCGGGAGGGAGAGGCGCTTTCCCGGACAGTTCGGCGGGGCAGGTGGCAGCAGGTGGGGTGGGCAGGGCAGGGCAGGGCAGGGCAGGGCAGGGAGCGCTGTTCTGTCAGCGGGCGGCGATCTCGCCTCTTCCTCCTGCTCTCGGAAAGGCAGACAAGGCTTCCAAGCCCTAAATTGCATTTCGTGTAACTCCTCCCCTATTTCGGCTGCTTGCTCATGCAGCCACCCACAGATCTGAAACAAAAATGTGCGAAGCGAGGCAGGGAGCCCTCTCGCCAGTGCAGATTCCATCTCCCCTCCCGGCGCCAGGATGCCCGTCGTGCACTGACACCGTCTCACTCCTGAACAGAATGAAGCCTTGGCTAATCACACATACATAAGCATTTTTCTCCCATCCGTTCTCATCACCCTGTACTCCAAGAAGAAAAAGAAGATAAAAAAAAAAAGCGCGGGTCTGTGGATGAGCGTGTCTTTGTGGCACTGCTCCCTCGGCGGGCTGACAGAGGCGGCATTGTTCGCAGCCTGTGCCCGGCTTGGCAGCCGGAGAAGGTGGGTCTGCGCCGCGCATACGGAATCGGTGAGCGCTCGAGGGACAGGGGTCGAGAAACTCTTGAGAGCTGCCTTAGCGACCGCAGGGAGTTGCAGAGCACCACTGATAGCTTCTCCTGGTGTCTTCTGCACAGCGTGAACTAGGATGAGGAGCCCTTGTTAATCTGAGGTAATGTTTTTATCTTTAGAGGAGCGTGGTAGCAATTGCTGCTGTTCGGTTATTCACTAAAGTAAGGGTGATACCACAGAGAGAAAAGTTGTGAAGTCTGCTGTACTTCTTAGGAGAATAAATCTTCATGGTGGCCGTTGTGCTGCAGCTGAGGGTTGTTAAAGTTTGTTTCCCTTTATGTGGGCTTAGTTTGTGTTACCAATAATGAGAAAATCTGTATGTGTTCCCATCAGAGGTCAAAAAGACCATTTAGTCTCCTTCTCCATCTTTCTTACTTTTTAAGCCAGAAGTTACTCTGTATATGCAATAATAAATTAATTTTGCTAATGGAAATACATCAACATATAGCTATTAGGCAAGGTAAATACTTCTTCCTATTACCAGAGACAATTCCTCACCCCTCAAGGCACTCCCTGGGGTACCAGGCATCCTCTACAGTGGTAAAAATTTAACATTTCTCTACACAGCTCAGCAGAAAGAAAAACCATTGTTGCATTTGTTTTTCAACCATTTTGCAATAACTATGATTACACAGACTGTGCCAAATAGATTTTACATTGTTGTGCAGGTATTTCTCCTGTGTTCTCACTACTTCAATCCTATTTTTAGTAGTTTTAAATTACTATTATTATTTTAATTTAAAGATACATTTTGTCTGAGTGTTTCTCCTGGTCTCTTGCTCCTCTTATTGCTATCTGTCCCATGTAATTGTTAAGTCTGTTTTTTGAGAGTGTCTACTGCTATTTGGGGATGATAACAAATGTAGTCTTAAAAGTGCAAGCCTAGTGGCTGTTGTTCATTTCGTGTGCCCAGATTGACATGCTTTTGGGGTGAATGGGCTCAGCTGAGGTGGATTTTTGCCAACACAGCTCCAGATCTGGCGCTCTTAATTACATAAACGGTGTTTGAAAGATATTGGGGAATTTTTTGTTGATTTTTTTTCTAAAGAGGGATTAAAAAGAAGAGAGTATTAATTTGTGTACTGAAGAATGCTATTCTATCAGTGCAGCGTCGTTTGTTGCATGTAATTTGGGAGGACACAGCTTGTACCTCCTCTTTGCCCAATGGCACGTAGCAGCCCCAGAGGATACATACTGCTTTTGTGCTCCCTTTCAGTTTTAATCTTTAGGGAGCAACTGTTTCAAAGAATAAACACATTGCCTTGTAGGAGAAACTCCAGAAAACATCCTGCTAGTGACAGCGGCAGCCGCTGCCCATCACGCTTGACATCCCTCTGCCAAAAACGGCGGGGCTTTGTGAGCTGGCCAGCCAAAGGCTGGGAGTTGCAAGCTGTGTATCCCCGAGGATGGCTGCTGGCTCAAAGTGCAGTATCTAGGTTTATCCTGGCCCTTGGCCTGGGGATTTGTGACATCCCCTTTCGGCAGGAGTATCTGCCCTAAATCCCTATGCACCCTCCATGCTGCTTGGCAGTGGGGCTGTGTCAGGCAGGCAGGTAATGAGCCTCTTCATTCTCCCTGTGGCTTTTCCCACACACCCCTCCTTGCCAAGGGAGAGGGTGACTGGGGGCTCCAGCACTGGGGAGCCAAATCCTCGCTCCTCAACCCCCTTGGCTGGGCAGCAGGCCTGGATGATGCTGGATTCCACATCCTGCCATTCTAACGTTTTAACAAAGCCCTTTACATCAAGGAGATGGGTTCTAGACAACACCTGCTACAGTAAAGAAGGCAATTTTAAAGTAATAATAAGCACATATAGACCTGCCTAAGAGTTTTTTAAGCTATGAAATGAGAGATACTTATGGTCATTACCTCTGTGAGAGAGAGAAGTGAGACCCTGTATTAGACTCTTTCATTGATTTTCTTGTGCTTGTCAGGGGCAAGCAAGTGTGGAAATCCCAAATCAAAGCTTGTCTGCACAAGCAAAAAAATGAAGCCAGAATAATTAAAGGGGTTGCAATTTCCAGAAGTTTTTCAGTGGATGCTTTACTAGAGGCACTCGTATCAGGAAATAAAAATACATGTGGATAAATGTGTTTCAGGTTAAATCAAAATTGGTTATTTATTATAGTGAATACACCACCTTGTACTAATGTAGAGCCTTTTACTGCTGTGTTTTAACTGGCAAACAAAGTGTCATTTGCTGTTAGTTTAAAAAAGCGGAGTAAATACATCTCCCACACATAAAATAATCTTGCATAAAGTTCACTTGCTAGATGGTGCGTGCCTCATTTATACAGCAACTTTTATAACCCATTTCCTCCAGAGTATATGACACTAAGTTGTCAGGTTCAATTTAAAATAAATAGCTATTGCTTCCAAAGTTAACTTTGGTCAATTGTTTATGTTTCTGTAAACAAAAAGATGCAGCAGAGTTTGTGATGGACGTAAGCACAGACAGGGTTTTCGTGGTAGTGTCTTAACCAGCGCTTCTTCATTTTTTTTCAGCCCAGCGGCTTTTGCTTCCTCACTTGGACAGCCTATATGAAGACCTGCGTGGATGATGTTATAAGGTAAGGAATACAGCCACTGAGAGCCGGGGGTTTCATGTTCTTAATTTTGCACTGCTACGTAGTTTCTATGTGAGAAGTTGCTTCACTCTGCATCTGATTTCTTCTCAGGAAGACTTGCGTATGGTTGTCCTTTTTGTTTGGTAATAACAGATACTTGAGCAAAATTAACTGTTTACCATGTAGGTGATGATATGTCTTAAATAATGTTGAATTTCACTGTTGTGTGATGTTTTGTATGCATACTCCTTCTCCCATGCAAACCTCAAATGGTCTCTTTGGGGAGAGGCTCATGCTGCGTGTCTGGTGTACCTCTTGGTGCAGCATCGCTCACAGTGTTTTATTCAACTTTGTAGTATTATGTTAGGACCGGAGTGTCCAGTGGGTTTTCTGATTCCCAGAAATACTGTAGTTTTGTAGCCTTTCCCTGCCAGCTTCAGTGTCACCTTTACTTCTCCCCTTCTTTCTTCTCCATCTGGGCAGCAGCACCCATCATTTCTGCCTCCCTGCAGACACGGTGTGCTTGAGGCTTTTATCTGCAGGCAGACTGATGATCAGCACAAGCACAATTCTTACCTCCTCTCCCAGGGCCTACATCTGCCCCGCTTTACTCTACCTCAGGCACTGAGTGAGCAAATACATTGTCAATAAATGAAGAATCTATTTGAACTATGATGACTGGAAAACGTGGAACTCTTCTGATTTGGGGTCCTAAAAGACAGGCTTTCATGCCAGTGTTGGGCAGATCACAGCCTGCATGGATATTACAAAGCCCAACAGTGTTAGTATAGTATAGCTGTGCTGCGTATTTCCTTAATCTGCTTGTTTAGAGACACCCAGAATATTCATCTTAATCATCTGTTTCCGCTGCATAGTAGGTAGAGGAGGAAATACCACAGAGAGCCCTGTCACTGGGAAAATGCATCATTTGAATGTGCAATGTAAATATTTTAACTAACCAAATGTAAACACTGCTTTGCCTTTAGGATGGGAAAAGACTGTCACAGTCAGAAACGAGCTGACATAAGAGTGACCCTGTATAGATGAGATACAAAATTGTGTTCACACATTTTGGTAATCAAAACAGAGCCCTTAATGAATTGCCTAGTGTGAAAGGAATTACAAACACGAATGTGCCTGACACAAGGCATGCAGAAGTCGTGCTGTATTAATGTTAAAAGGAAGGGCTTTACAGGATTTGTGAGGATCCGAGGTCCCTGGGAGGGATGATGTGAGATGAGAGAGATAGGATGATGAGAGATGTGATATGGTAAGAGCTAGACAAAGGCTGAAGATTCTATGAAGGGGAACCTAAACAGTAAGTATGCTCCATCTATCCATGCTACTCCGTGCCACTGGCTGTGTCTCTTTATTGATGATCTAGATGAGGGCATTGAGTCTACCCTTAGTAAATTAGTTTGACATAAGGAAGAATTTCTTCACAGAAAGACATTGAAATGGACTGCCCAGGGAGGTGATGGAGTCACCATCCCTGGAGGTGGTTAAGGAAAGACTGGACTTGGCACTTAGTGCCATGGTCTGGTTGACATGGTGGTGTTCAGTTGGACTCCGTGATCTCAGCGGTCCTTTCCAACCTAATTGATTCTATGATTCTGTGCTCACCATGCCAGGAGAGTAAATTCAGAAGTTTCCAAGGGTTAGAAGATGGTAGAGGCAACAAAGATACCAGATAGAGCAAGAAGCATCCTATTGCATTCACAGACGTGCTGTGGGTTTTTCAGTTGGTGGATTCAAAGAAAAGCAGAGTTTTAGGGAGCTCAGAGCTCATTAGCTCTTCCTATGCTGGCTTCAAAAGTGCTTGAGGACTTATGTCCAAGTGGTACTTGATAGAAACCAGACATGCGGTTTAACTTTTGGTGCTGAATGTGGTCCTGAAAAACAGTGCTATAACAGGATCCAGAATCCTCCAGATTCCACTTGACTTCATCGTTTGGTAAATGGTCTTCAGGCGTTCATCAGATTGCTAAGCAGAAGAAACATCTGGAGATGATTTCATTTGCTATATGTTCTAACCCATGGATTATTATATCAAAAGAGGAAGAAACAACACAGAGGATTTGTCTAGACTTCATGGATTGTGAGAAATTAGTTAGATCTTATTTCTGCAGGCACAGGTATATGTAAATGCCCAGGTGGGTAAGCTTTCATTACTGCAATAGCTGGGGGATTTTCCTAAAGTTGATTTTTGCTTGTATTACCAACAAAGGGTAATATATTAACATCTGCCTCACATTTGCTATTTCTTTGTTCTAACAGCTGGAAATTTACATTTACACATTGGCCTCAGAGCTAAAAGTGTCATTCCCTAAGTTAAGAACCTATAATGACTTTTGTTGTTCTCCTTGATAGGAAAGGAGAACTAAAAACACAGGGAAAAGACAAATGGGAAGGGTAGCCCTCAGATGATAAATGCTTTCAGTTGGAGCACAGATTAATCATAGATAGGATAGCCTTAAGAGTGTCATTGTCTGCCATTACTACAGCAATTTAGTTATAGCCAAATCTATTAAGAGTAAAAATTATCTAAAGAAAGTAGAGGAAATCAAATACTTACATCACCAGGAATGAGAAAATACAATGGCATTTTTTTCAGTCCAGAGGAAATTAGGAGCCCTTCTTGTGCAAATGAGAAGTGTTTTGCATAGATGAGGATAACTTTGACATTATCACAGAATCAAACTTCTGTTGCTAGAAAATCTAATCATTTTATGCAATAAATTCTCTTGAATACAGATAATCCAAATCTGCTTTACCTCCCAGACAGATGTATCAATTTCCATGGGAAAGCATGAATACAGTCAAAAGTAAGAACTTAATGCTCATATACTTTATATACTTTTGCTAAAGTGCTGTATTGTGCCTTTTTTTTTTTAAAGGATCTAAAATTAGTAGTTTGAAATGCTGAATTCACAGCATCATTTTTCTAAAATACAGTCACATTATTTGAAAGCTGATGAGAGATAGGAAATTTAAGAAGGGAAGTGCAGTTGAAAAATTTTTGAAAGGAGAGTGTAAACTTCAGAGTGGAAGGGAATTAGATAAAGGAATCTGTGAGAATGGAAATAATCATGTGAAGGGGAACAGACGATGCTGGTGATATCTTTTGGCCTAGGTTTTGAAAGGAATTCAGAATATGATCTGCAGTCTCTGTCTTTGGGAGGGGGAATGGGAGTTTTTCCATTTATGGTAAAGTGGAGTAAGAATGTCATTGCCCCAGTTGTTAAAATATTTTGAAATCTACTTCAAAGTGATTACTTATTGCAGTGTTATAGACTGTCGTGAACAGAAGAACAAGAGAAACTGGAATCAATCCCACAAAGTGCAGTGAAAGCATAATTTATGCTTCCCTGAGAGGGAATGAGAGACTGCTAGTCCAGTTTGGCTCATTCTAGATCAGTTCTCTAAGAGACTGCTTTCTAGAAAGACTCTCTGGATGTATCTGTAAGTCAGCAAAACTCAATGTTCAATCCTAGGGGAGCTTGGAAGCGTCCATTGAAGCCAGGGATAAATAGGATGCATATTTTGAGGCTGAAAGTGCCATCTGAGTGTGGCTTTACAAAGCAGAGGACCATGGAATCCCAAGCATCTCTGGCATATACTTGAGAACAGACTTACGTAATGCAGTGTTTCTGCAGAAGGTAGATGGGCTACTTGAGCTGCTCCTATGCCTGCAGCTGCTTCAGAAGCCTCTTTTTCATCATGGTACAGAGCAGTCCATCATCTCTGCCTGATTAGTCATTTTCTATGTAACATAGTCTTCACATTTATATCTATATAACTGATTCCAGATGAACAGCAATAACTTCCAGCATCAGATAAATCTCTGTGAGATGAATTTATGGTTGCTCTGTTATGGACTGTCAGTAGCCTTAGACAACCTGCTGCCATCAGACTGTCTTGGTTTCTTAGTTTTGCTCATGTGGCACAGCCAATTCCATTTCAGTGTATGTGAATTAAGGAGAGTACATTCTAATAATATTTTATATTTACACAGCACCTCTCATCCCAGAGTACTTTATAAATCATGTATATTCAACACTACTGACCTTTTGCAGTCCCTTGAGAACAGGAGAACAAGCATTTTACAAAAGCAGTAAAACCATAGGAATTTTTTCTCTGTAATTCTGGGGGGAACTCATTAATTACAGAATGAATTTTATGTTCCCTAAGCTACAGCTTCAGTTTGTAAAGACCATTATTGAAAATTTCTTCAAGATAAAAATGGATGATCCTACACTTTGTGTACACCATGAACAAAGAGCTAATCCCCAAGACTGGGCCCCTGGAAATATTTCATTCTTGCATGGAAATGAACATAAAAGTGTCACTACATCTATACCTTGGCTGTCATTTCATCAGTAAATTGCCCCCTCTTCCTGCAGCATCTGACCAAAATGCTATAGTCTGCATTGCCCCCTCAGCTGATGTGGATCCTCCCATCACAGGGTGAGAGATACAGCAAAATAAATACATCAGAAAACCTATTTACTTGTTTTTGATGAACTCAAATGTAACTGATTCTCTGAGGAATCAAGCTGAAGAAATTCAGCATGTCTGTGCATTGGGCCAACATACGCAGAGGAGAGATGAGCAAGGCCAAAGGAACAAGGAGGAGGATGGCAATGAATTTATCTTCCTGGCATTCAGTGCCCCTGCCTGTAAACATCAAGAGGATGATCTGAAGCCTAAACGTCTGTCTCTGCAGTACTGGAGCTATGGGGAATGGCAGTGGTTGGTGAGGGTGTGTGTGGGGTCCCTTGTCTGCCTGGGGCATCCTTGTGGTGCACAGAGGCTCAGCTTATGTGCAGGACTGTCTCGGTGGGGTCAGATTCCCTCTACTTAGAGAAAAAACTCCAGAGGAGCTGCTTTCCATAATTTTAAATAAGAAAATAGATATGCAGATTGTTCTACTACAATCTTTGCCAGACCAGCCATTCTGGCGGTTCATTTGGGCCTTACTTAGCCTGTTGTTTTAAACAGAA